AGCCACGTGGAAGCAGCTCGTCTTTGCGGCCCATTGTTTGGCGGCGGGGTTGCTGTTACGCTTGGGATTCCACACCGAACGTCAATGCCTCTGCAAAGCAATCTGAGCCAAGGCAAGTGGTCGAGCCCGCGTGACGCGATCAACTCAACGACGTCATCAAGCGGTGATGCCGGTCTGTCACGCAACGCACAGCAAGCTCTCTCAGCCCACGAGCCCATTGAAGCAATTGGCGCCTTCAAGTCCGGCGAGTCTTACGCAATGCTTGACAACGTCACTCGGCCTTGGGTGCAACCATGCGCAGCGGCTCCGGATTTGATGTGCATGACGTGGCCCAGCAGCGGGCCCCGTTGGATGATTCTGTTATCACCAGCAGCGGTGCTTCTGGTCGAACGTTGGTGACTCAAAAAATCCATCCAGTGCCTATAAAAAAGCCCTGTGGCACGTCGCCAGCAGTAGATCTATGTGTCAAAGAAGCCTCTCGGTTGCTTCGAGCCCCTTTCGCTGTCGGCGCGGCCGGTGTCCTTGGCAGCGGCGAGTTTCGTGGCGCCCTTTGTAACCTCGTTGGCGGTGCGCTTCATAACAGTAGTTGACCTATGCAGCAGACAGAAGCCGACGGATGCGTGCGATAAAAGACAACTCGGCTGTTTGAGCCCCTAAGCTGTTGGCGGCAGTGCGGAATTCTTAACGCTTCTATTTCTATGATGTACGTGAACTTTGCGTTAACTCACCATCGTCTCGTCTGCTCGTCTATCAGCTCTGCGCAGAAGCAGTCGCGAGCTGAGTAAAACATGCTACCAAACGGCTGGTGACCTTTGCTGTGAATTTTGTAGCAGTGAAGCCTTCGGGACCGTGTTGGCGTCGCGCCTTCGTAACAGCGTGCACTGTACGGATCACAAGGCCATGGTAGTTATAGGGTTGTCGAACTCACGACCTCTCACTCCGCAATGCACGGCTCGAAACCACTGGGTCACAGAAGGTGCGTTTTCCAGCTGTATTACAGCGAGCTCTTTATATACAACATGTACCGCTGCCATTCCGGAAAGATCCATGACTTCAAGGCACTTTAGTAGTCAAGACTCAAGTAGCGCGAAGGTGGCATGGAGGAAATGCTCTAATGGTTGTCGCTAGCGTTCCACGATGCGCGTGCCCCCTTGGAGGTTGGAGCTGTCTTTGAAGGTGTAAGTGCCGCCTTACGATCGGCAGCCGCCATTCGGCTCCCTCTGTTATGTCGCGCGGGGTTGCGTGAGATACGTGCGCGCCGTTTTGTCGGAAAACCTGGTATGCTTTAGCAGAAACAGGTCCTCCCACAACTTCATTTTACTATGAAAGCTGGTATGAGATTACTTTCCGGGTCCCGCGCAGTTTCATGTTGTCCGCCGCCGCCGCCGGTGTTCATAACCACATCGCGTGAAATTAGAAAAAAAAGCCTTTCACCAATGACACAGTGGGGCTTGAACCCGTGTCCGCTGATTGCCAGCCCAATATTCTACTACTGCGTTACGCCGGTGCTTGTAACTTGTTGTCAAGCTTGCCTTAGGCAGGCATGACCTAGCACCAATGGTACAGTGGGGCTTGAACCCGGGTCCGCTGGGTGCCAGCCCACTACTCTACCTCTGAGCTACTCCGGTGCTTGTGACTTGTCAAACTTGGCTTAGGCATGCTTGATGTCGGGAAAGCAATCGCGTTAATACGACCTATAAAGCATTTTACAACAACAAAAAGCAACCAGTCATCGCACAATGCAATTAGCATAACATGTGGGCTGTTTAAAGCTCCAACCCATTACAAAAGCTTATTCTTGTTTCCCTATCAACTGTTGCGCATACCCACTTCAGCCGTAATTCCTTATAGTCGTCAGCCACTGAATGAACAATTTGCATAAAATTCCTAACAAGTGTTTAACGAGTAATACGCTTTTCAGTTGAATGAGAAAAAACTAGCATAGCGAATGCCGGCATCACACCCAAAGGGATATTATTATTGCCCTTGTGGGTACCCAGCAAGTGTGCTGGCAGGAGTTACTCAATGAGTGTTTTGAAAAGCGTCTGAAAGGCCGCTCTTCTATCTTTTGCTGTGACTGTGCTGAGCTTACCGCGCAAGCCTGGCGTTTTTTTTTTGGGAGGAAGAGGGGGGCTTTCTTTTCAAAAAAAGTTGGAATGAAGTAAGAATTGTGGCAAAATGCCCGGGTGTTGCGTGCCACAGTGCACAAACCATTCGAGAAATGACTACAGGATGTTCAGATACCTAAAAGGCCCGAAAAGGCGACTCTGCTGTCTTGTAAAAATCAAGTACGACAAGTGGCAACCGACAGACAATTTGTGTTTGTGCAAGGTAAGTCATCCTCTTTAAGCATTGTGAGAGTTATAATTTTAGGTATTGTAACACGGCCACTTTCAGTCGCAATCAAGCCTGATGTTAATGACCCTTTTACGCCATCTGCAGAAGGGTGCCAATCACTGTTGAGAAATTTGATCTCGATCGGACTAAATGCGATCACCAGTGCACCGGGTGCAATACACGGTAATTTGCATGCTGTGTACATGCGTATTTACCTTGTTCATTTTGGATAGCACGAAATGCGTTGTTCTTATTGGCTTGTTGCATACAAGCTGCAGTTGCACGAAGATGTTGGCCTATGTTGCGCGCTTGTTGCTGCCGGTGCCATGAACTAGTTCTTTTAATGTCCCGTGTCGTCGTAGCCGTCGTAATCGTAGTAGCCAGTGGCATTGCGTTACATGTCAGTAGAAATGGCGGCACAGCATATCCACAGAGTGGATGATTGAGTGGGCAGAAGCATCCGTCAGCTCGTCCGTGCTTCCGTACGACTGTGCATGCGACCGTTCGTCCATGCGTCCGTCCCTGCGTTCGTTCATCCGCCCATCCGTCTGTCCCTGCGTTCGTCCGTGCATTCGTCCGTTCATTCGTCCGTGTGCCTTTCGCCCGTGCGTCTGTACGACCATCCACGCATTTGGTCATCCATCCGTCCATCCGTGCGTCTGTTCGTCCGTCAGCACGTCTGTTCGTCCGTGCGTCCATCGGTTCTTCCATCGGTGCGTTCGTCCGCACGTCCGTTCGTGCGTACATCTATGCGTCTGCCCACCCTCTCCGCCCCACTCATCATCATTTGCCTCAAGGATATTGTCTGATTTTCTCTTTTCTCCTGACAGCACGTATGCTTTGAGGCGAAGCTCCTCAGGGTGGGGGTCTGTCCATCCTCCGATGTTGTATGTAGCCACTGGTGGCACATACCCGAAAGAGCGGTCCTTAGAATATCTGCTGGATGGCGCCAATTGTATATGATAAATACATGATGAAAACATGTGAGATGGCTGTACTTGTTGCGTTCACTAAATAGACCGACCGACGGACACACATACAGGTAGACGGACGGACGGACGGACTGATGGACGCACAGACAGACAGAGAGGTGGGCGCACGGACGAACGGATGGATGGCAGACAGACAGAGGGACGGCCGGAGGAACAGACGCACGGACGAATGGACGAATGGAAGAACAGATGTACGGACAGACGAATGCACCGAGGTTCACACGGATGGACGAATACATGAACGGACGAACGTATTGACGGACGGAAGCAAAAAAAATGGGTGGATGATAGCCCGGACGGACAGAACAACGCTTCATTCCACCAATAATCGTGCACAGCGTGGATATGCTGTGAATTTTTAATTCATCTTTATTCAGTCAACTGGCAAATGGCAAACTGTTTTTACGCTTTTGTGAGTGTCACACAACACACAGACACATTTAAAGGTCATGTAATATAGGTGCGGGTGTTTCACATCTTTAAATTATATTAATAGTTACCGACTAGTCAAAAAGACGGCCAATGGAAGGTGTTAACGCAGCTGGCGTTGATGGTGGTTTCCGGCTGCAAGTGGCTCTAGCTACTAATGTCGCTTTAAAAATGAAGTATAAAATCAGAAATCTAAAACCCTCACACTCCCGATGCGAAAATTTTGTATTTCTCTCATAATGTTTGACCACCACACGTTTAGACGCAACAAACTGTGTATGCAGCCGCGCAACACTCGTTGGCTGAAAATGCTGGCTACAGGCGGTTTGCGGAGAAGGCATCATAATGGCGGACTCCGTAGCAAACAGTGTGGTTTACTTCACCGTGCTAGGTGGGAGAAGGAGGCGCACGCGTCTAGGAACCTAAGTTGTCGGACTTTTCGTTGCTATGGAGGCACGCTTACAGAGAAGAGGCAACTCGTGCGAACGCATATCTCGGGATTCGGGTGCCTTCAGCGCCTTGCGCTTCTAACGAAAATTTTGTTGATGTTACAGTTGCTATAGTATAGTGCCTAGAATTTACTATTCTAGGCACTATAGTTAAAGAGTTCAAAAAGTCATTTCGCTCGCCGCCGCACCCCCGCTCACCAAGACTGCACTGCCCACACCCGATGTAGAAATCGTTACACTTGTTCGCGCTTGCGCTGCGTACTAATATTCGTTGATTTCGTGCGTCTTTTTTGGTGTTTAAGCAGCGTTCTTTTATGGACAACCGGTGACAGTTGTTGTGCTGCAAGCTTCTTGTGAATGGGTATTCTCTGCGTCCTTTCTGCTTTTGCTGCGCGCTACAAGTTTTGAGCTTCTTGCCTTTCTTTGCGCGAAATTACAGTTTGTTGCTGTAGCATTCATTTGTTCCCTTTCTCGTGAAACAAGGCGCAATATACGCCCAACTACCTCTGTGAAAACGCCTTTTGGTATTGTGGTATACGGATTTCAAAAAGAGGAAACAGTCACGTTTTTTAAAGATCTGCGTTTTAACTAGTTGCGTCACACTTTAAAAGTTGCCAGCTGGCAAGTTTGCACGCAAAACCCTCAAATTTCTCATTTTTTCTGGTTTTTTTTTTCAAACAATTACGCGGAAAAGAAATGTCATACCTTTTCACGAGAGCATTCGGGCTCTTTTCAACAGTGGCAAAACATTACTCACTATCCGAGGTCGACTAAAAAACAGAGAGCTGTGATATAAGCAGACCTTAAAATTTTTTATTGACAGTTCGTACGGCTTTAGCACGTGTCAGTATAAACGAGGTGGTATGCCGTAGTGACGTCCTATTTACCTTATTTGTACGCATGCGCCGTTCACACATCTCTGAAATAAAGAGTGAAATCATCAAAACCAAATATTGGCTATTGTAGTAAATACCCACTGCACGATCTCGGAAAAGTGAGCACCACATCCTATAGGGCAAACTAGTTCGATTCGCAACTTAGCTGCATTATAATGCAAACTTCAATGTATGCTAAGAATACTACTGATGTAATTGTTAATGCGAATAAATATAGGTAATACACATAATTGATTGATTGATTTGTGGGGTTTAACGTCCCAAAACCACCATTTGATTATGAGAGACGCCGTAGTGGAGGGCTCCGGAAATTTTGACCACCTGGGGTTCTTTAACGTGCACCCAAATCTGAGTACACGGGCCTACAACATTTCCGTCTCCATCGGAAATGCAGCCGCCGCAGCCGGGAATCGAACCCGTGACCTGTGGGTCAGCAGCCGAGTACCTTAGCCACTAGACCACCGCGGCGGGGCTAGGTAATACACATAAACTTAGCTGTCTGGTCAGCTCCAAACGACGTATGGTATTAGCAACAAGTTCCTTTCCAATACGAATTAATTCTTAGTGAACTTCGCCGACTTCGAGCGTATCTATCTATCTATCTATCTATCTATCTATCTATCTATCTATCTATCTATCTATTTATCTATCCATCCATCTATCTATCTATCTATCTATCTGTCTATCTATCAATCAATCTACCTATCTATCTATCTATCTATCTATCTAGCTATCTATCTATCTGTCTGTCTGTCTGTCTGTCTGTCTGTCTGTCTGTCTGTCTGTCTGTTTATCTACCTATCTAGCCACCAACTGGGTGCCACGACACCGCGAGATCGAAGGAAATGTGCTGGCTCGCCACGTCAATCAACGGGAGCACTGCCAACTCCTCAGTTGCTGTCCCTATAATGAACCTAAAACCAAACATACGAAAAAAGCTCAGGGCTTACTTGCAAATGGTATGGGATCTACAAAATCATAACAAGTTATACTTGATCAAACTATACCTCGGTGTCTGGCCACCCACGTGGACAACGCGCTGTACAGAGATCAGTCCCTGTCGGCTTAGAATAGGACACACACACAGCCTGCACACACAACTTTTGCCCGGTTGTGACCCACCCAGCTGTCACAGATGTGGCCGTCCACTTACAGTACTCCACATACTCCTTGAATGCTCTGAGCTTGAGGCTTACAGGAAAAAAAAAACATTTCCACTAGCGTACAAGGAACACATACCCCTCCGTCCAGCTATGTTTATTGGTCGTGAATCTCTTTTTTAAATATAATGCATTGAATGCATTCTTCCAGGAAGTAAATAATTTGCATGTTATCTACTCAAGTGATCGGTAGCATGGCCTCTGAAAGGAGGCTGCTGCTGCGGATGCTACATCCAAAGAGAGCACCTGTCTCCCGGCCCTTGAGACCAAGGGCGCTGGCTTGGTTTCGGTGCTGATATAACACTCCTATTCTGTCATGTCTTGATAACTAAAGACTCATTCTCACCAGCCATGCTTCACTTCACTTTCATGATTTTAATAAATATAAGTCTTACGCACCTTCAGAGTGCAGAATCTTAGGCCCTTTTACAGCCATTTAACATTCCCTTTGCTCCGATCCGATGTCATTTCCTGGCGCTCTTTGGCCATCAATGGTCTTGCGCCATTAAACAACATATATTATCAATATCTAGCCACCTACGATTTTCCGCTCTCCTCACCGTTTTGATAATCGGATTGATACCAAATTTTGTATGGGATAACATGACTATTTGGCCAGCATCAGCGACTAGTCATAAAATGAAAATTGTGACATGTATGTGATGAATGCCATGATTTACGTTTCATTGTCTTGCTCCACTTGCGGTGGTTTCGCTCACATGGCATGTCTTGGGAGACTACGATGATGAACTACGCAGTCAGCGCTCATAATATATATATATATATATATATATATATGTATATATATATATATGTATATATATATATATATATATATGTATATATATATATATGTATATATATATATATATATATATATATATATATATATATATATATATATATATATATATATATATATATATATATATATATATATATATATATATTATGACGACTCGGTTGTAACGAGGTTTATTGGTCGTGAACTCGAGAACGAACAAGCGCAACGGACCCGAAGAAGAAGCGCACGTTCCAAGAAGATGATGATTGTCAGCCAGAACATATGGTGATGATATGGTGATGAACATATGGTGATGAACATATGGTGAGCGCATAACAGATGCCTACACAGATCCCCCCCCCCCCCCGTGGAAGCGGCCAGCCTGGCCGCTGCGGGCGGGTAGTCAAGGTGACGAGGAACGTCGTGTGAAAAGCTTCATGCGGGAAACGTGTACAATTTCGGTGCTGCGGTAACGGCGGTCAGTTGTCACGACAAGAGGCGTCACACGATAGTTGACAGGTGAAGTCTGCTCTAAAACAACATATGGGCCGATGAATCGAGGCTGGAACTTGTCGCAGAGACCAGGTGTGCGAATTGGTGTCAATAGCAGCACCTTGTCACACGGTCGGAATGATACCACACGATGAGAGGTGTCGTAGACGGCCTTCCTTGCTTGTTGCGTAGCTTCCGAGTTCATACGAGCGCACTGGCGGCACTGGGCAAGGCGAGAAATATATTCTTCGCAAGAAGATGGTGATGGATGGCCATTGCTGGTGAAGAAAGAAACATCGATAAAGAAAGTAGGTGAACGTCCGTAAACAAAATTAAACGGTGAGTAACCGGTTGTGCGCTGAGCAGCGGTGTTTTAGGCGAAAGTGAGGAACGGTAGAAGTTTATTCCAGTTTCTGTGATACGGGTGAATGTATACGGCCATCATGTCGGCAAAGGTTCGATGAAATCTCTCGGTCAGACCGTTTGTTTGAGGATGGTAGCTAGATGCCATCTTGTGTGTGGTACCAGAAACGCGAAGAACTTCACCTAAAAGCTGTGATAAGAACACCTTTCCACGGTCACTTAGAAGTACACGAGGAGCACCATGACGTAGTATTATGGCCTGAAGGACGAAGTCAGCAACTTCCGATGCTGAACCAGTAGCTACTGAAGTTGTCTCGGCGTAGCGTGTCATATGGTTTACGGCAGTGACTATCCATCTATTTCCAGCACCAGTAACAGAAAGGGGCCCATAAAGATCAACACCGACGACCTTGAAAGGTGTAGTATGGCACGTCATTGGCTGTAAATGACCAGCCGGGGGAGATCTCGGAAGTTTGCGAAGTTGGCACGGAGAGCAGGAACCCACGTACTTTGCTACGCTGGTAGAAATCCCAGGCCAATAAAAGCGGCTTCGAATGCGGTCGTAGGTTTTGTGAAAGCCTAGGTGGCCAGCAGTCAAATCGTCATAAAAGGCGTTAAGTACATGATGTTGAAGAGCGCGTGGCAGAACAGGTACCCAGCGTTGGCCGTCAGGATGATATATGTGACGATACAGCACACCGTCCTGAAATTGAAGTTCTCGAGTTGTCGACGAAGGCGTGCATTGGGTGGACGCGTAGCTCCTGAGAGGTGGTCTATAATGCGCCGACAATACGGGTCAGCCTGCTGGCGAGAACTGAAGGGTTGTTCATCGTCGATTGGCGGTTGGTACAGCGAGGCGAGCAAGGCAACAGAAGTGGGAGTCACGTCCGCACTGGTGTCGTTGGAGGTGGCAGCTGTAGTGTCAAACGACGCCGTAGGTAGTGGGCAACGAGAAAGAGCGTCGGCGTCTTGATGTTTTTTGCCCGATTTATAAATAATCTCAAACTGATACTCCTGTAGGCGTAAAATCCAGCGACCCAAGCGTCCTGACAAGTTCTTCATTGTAGAAAGCCAGCATAAGGCGTGGTGGTCCGTTACGACGGTGAATTGACGGCCGTACGGATAAGGACGGAACTTTTGTATGGACCGAACCACAGCGAGGCACTCCTGCTCAGTGATGGTATAGTTTTTTTCGGTAGAAGTAAGCACTCGGCTAGCATATGCGATGACCCTTTCCCCTCCAGAGTTATCGCGTTGGAGGAGAACAGCACCTATACCGCAACCGCTGGCGTCGGTATGCAGGAGTGTTGGGGCGGTTTCATCAAAATGGCAGAGTGCAGGCTCTGACGTCAAAACTTTCTTCAATAGGTGAAACGCCGACTGACATTCCTCGGACCACACAAAGGGTGCATTAGATGCAAGCAGTTTGTGAAGTGGCGCAGCTATTGAAGCTAAGTTTCGTATGAAGCGACGAAAATATGATGCGAGGCCAAGAAAACTTCGCAACTCCTTAAGTCTTGCGGGGCATGGAAATCGAAGGACGGTAGCGATCTTTTCGGGGTCAGGGCGAATACCGTCCTTGCTGACGACATGACCGAGAACCTTGATGGATTTGGTGGCGAAACGGCACTTCTTAGTGTTGAGCTGTAGACCCGCGCCGGCGAGGCATGTTAGGACGTCATCCAAGCGCCTCAGGTGCTGAGAAAACGTTGCTGAAAAGATGATGATGTCATCAAGGTAGCAGAGACACGTCTTCTATTTCAGAACACGCAGGACGGTGTCGATCATGCGTTGAAACGTCGCGGACGCATTGCAGAGCCCGAAAGGCATCACGTTAAATTCAAATAGGCCATCGGGGGTTTCAAATGCCGTTTTTTCTTTGTCGTCATCGTGCATGGGAATTTGCCAATATCCCGAACGCTAATGAAGGCTTGAAATGTATTCGGCGCCTTGCAGTGAATCAAGGGCGTCATCGATGCGTGGCATGGGGTATAAGTCCTTGCGTGTGATGTTGTTAAGTGCCCGGTAATCAACGCAACAGCGCACGGAGCCATCTTTGTTTCGTACCAAAACAACAGGGGATGACCAAGGGCTAGTTGATGGACGAATTAGTTCTCGTTGGAGCATGTCAGCGACGTTTTCCTCGATGATTTTTCGCTCAGCGAGAGACACGCGGTACGGGCGGCGATGTACAATAGATGTTCCCTCCGTCTGAATGCGATGC